CCCCAAAACCCCAAAACCCCAAAACCCCAAAACCCCGAAGCTTGCTTATAAATTGAATTATTTGTCAACTGAATTATCATAATACACATTTTCTGAAGTACTGCTCTGCAAGTTCTATATTTATACAGCAATCCTTACCAAATATTCTGTGATTCTAGATGTATCATCTGCTATAGACAGAAGAGGTTAGTAAGAACTTTTAAATTGTGAAATTTAGAGGCTGAATCACATAACCATGACTCAAAAAGGAGCTCGAGTAATAACTCAGAACCTCGAAGTCTCGAATTAAAGAACACAATGCACTAAATTTACCATTTTCTTCAGCTAAGTGTCTTTCAAATTCTTGTTTTGAACTAACAGAGAGACTTCTCTCCTCAATCTGGTCACACAGTTCCTTAACTGCGTTAAGGAAGTCGTTTATCTCTGAATCAGTAGCTTCACTGAAGAACTTATGAACAGTAAGTAGAACTTCTTGGAGGCTTGAGGACTTCCTTACGCCAAGAGTCAGCTCTTCGTGACTTTGTAAATTAGAAGTGCCAGCTTTGTCATGCTCATCTGGGGAATAGGTGAATTTACCATCTGAACATTCAAGACTGCTTTTAAGCTTGCTGATAATCTCATCTTTAACTCGAAGAGTTTCCTCAAGTTCCTTAATACTTCCGTGTACCTCTCCAAGCTTAGATTTTCTTAGATAGTCAACTTCAGAGTTCAGTTGGCTGATCTGATGATCTTTAGCTGAAACAGCATGACTTAGTTGTTCAATTTGTGAATTAAGACGAGTATTTTCCCTCATGAAGTCTCTCGAGCTCGCTCTCAAGTCCTTCTCAGAAGAGGATTTGTGGACATTCGGGCTTTCATTTTCCTGCATGAGCCTGACACCTGTAGATTGTTTACTAGAAAGTTGTTCCTGAAGGCTCTGAATAATTTCACTTTTCTGCCAATTTTCCCTCTCAAACTGCCTTAACTGGTTCTGTCAGCTATCAAGCTTCTTCTGGACTTGTTCTAGCTCAGCAAGAGGTATGAAATTATCATGAGCTTCTTCAAGTTCGTTACTGAGCTTCTCTATCTCGTCTCTGAGCTTTTCCTCAATACTGGAGTTCCGTTTATTCGATTTTGAAATCTCTGAGTCAATAAGCTGCTCTCAGCGGCGGCTTAGTCGGTCATTCTCTGAGTTGAGGAACTCCATCTCATTTTCGAGTTTCAAGTTGATCTCTTCCAATTGAGTCACAGTGCTTCGTAATTTGTTGGTCTCAATCTTCATGCTGATGTTTTGTTCTAGCAGCTCGTTGTGTTCCTTTACAGTGATGCAAGATACGTCCTGGCCAATGCCTTCTGATGCCAAGCCGGCTTTCTAGAAAACATTTTAAAGGGTTTAGGGATTAAGATATTTAGTTAGTCGCTTTAGAGGTTTAGAGGTAGACTAAGAGAAGCTTGGCTAGTTTAGCTGTAAGAAACAACAATTTATCTGAATGGTTTCTTAAAAATAAGAGTGTAAGAACTTAAAATTATAGCAATGCTTAAAATTGTTAAACTTACATGGAGACCTTCTGATGATCTTACAAGGCTTTTATTAATTCCAGAATCCTTAGATAAATTAAGAACTCCTTTTTGCTGTTCTAGCAGTTTCTTAGCTCTCGGATAAGAGTCAATGACTCTCCCTAATTCAGCATTCCGAGTCTTCAATTCTTTACTTTTGCTCTTCAGATTGGTAACTTGAGACTTAAGAGTCTTAAGCTCATTCTTTGATGAACGTATAATAGATTCCTTAGAGGAGAGATCCCTTAAAAGATCTGTAAACTTTTCATAAACCTTGGTAGTCTTGGCTTTAGCTGTCTTATTCTTAAGTAATTTTTCAACCCAGCCAAATTCTTGTTGAACTTTCTCTTTAAAAACCTCAAAATTTTCCTTTTGTATATCTATTGTACGCTGGTAGGTCTCTCTCAGGGTCTCCAGCTCTTGAGCATACTTCTCAATAATGTCCTTCTTGGTGTCTTCAGACTGGTTCAGAATATTATTGATCCTCTTGAGCTCTTCTTCATAATCTTGTCTCAAGGATTTCTCCTTGTTAGCTTTAAGCACTTGTTTCTGATCCTTGATCTAGACATATCGGTTAGTTAACAAAGGAAGAAGGGAAGCCGTACCTTGTTGCTGTTGATCTCTTCAATCAGCATCTTATATTCCTCTGACAACCTTTCACAGTCACTGTTGCACTGGGAAATCTTCTTGAGCAACTTCTTGTTCTCTGCCTTTAAGGACTTATTCTCAGTTGAGAGGATCTTAATCCGTGCCTCAAGAGTTACAGAGGATTCTTTCTCCTTGTTTTGGAGCTCTAGAACTTGGAATTCGTAATCTCTGATGATCTGGCACATTTTTATGTTATCATTCTTTACTTCAGTGTTCTCCATTTCTATTCTAAGTTAGTTTTGCAAAACATAAAGCAGACATACCGAATTTGTTCAGTAAATGATCCCTCTGAATCCTAAGGTTAGCAACCTCAGTTGCTGCTTCTTGTAATTGCTGCTGGACTCTTTGATAGCTTTCTCGATTTTCAAGAGACTCATACTTTTCTTTCTTAATGTCAAGCTCGCTTCTGACCTGTCCAAGCTGGGATTTGGTATTTTCCAGGTCAGTTTTCAGTCTAGCGTTGTCATCCATTACTATATAAGTGCTAACCATCAAGGGCTTACCTCTTTGCATGACTTGGACTTTATCCTGATTCTGAGTGAACTTAATATAATACTCATCTTTCTCCTTGGAACATTCCTTGAGCTCAGTCTCAAGAGTTGTGATCTTCTTGGCCTTCTGCTGACTCTTCTTCTTATACTTATTCAGCTTTGCCTTCAGCTGAACTACTTCTTCGCTACCAGCTTGGTTAATAGGAACCGCCATCTCCTGAGTCTGGATCTGGAGAGATTTTATGGTACTCTCTAGTACTGCTTTTTCGTTCTGCCAAGTCTGTGAGTCTTGTTGCTAAAAATTAGATTAGATTTTTACTCTTTGATCTATTTCCTTCTGAAGTTTCTCCTCAAGTTCTTCCTTCTCAACTTTGATGCCTCTTAACGACTGTTTGTTCTTCAGATCAAGATCTTGCTTCATTTCTTTATTTTCTTTCTTCAGCGTCTTGGTAGTAAGGACTAGCTTGGCATTGTCCTTCTCAAGATTGAGGATTCTTTCCTTTAAGTCGGAGATCTGAGACTCCTTTTCTCTTGCTCGAGACTTGGAGGCGAGAACCTCCCTCTTCATCTGTTCTAGAGTAGGCTTTGACAGAGTTTCAACCTGCTTATGGAGGTCTTCATTCTGGCTCGTTGCTTCGGCAAGCTCCTTGGTTAGGACTTCTATCGAATCAGAGAGATCAGCTAAATTTTAGCAAGAATTTTACCTATTTTAAGCTCAGATTCACGAAGTTTTTCGGAGATTTTGTCATTAGAGTGAATTTCATCCCGAAGCTCATCTTTAGTGCTTTGGAGCTCTTCCCTGAGCTCTCTGAGAGATTCTGCTTCTTGAGTCTTAAATTGTTCCTATAGAGGGGTTAGAGCAATAATACCTCTTGTTTCTTGTAGATTTGGAGCTGTTCTTCAAGACTAGCCTTAACTTTGGTAATAAGGTTCAACTCATTTTTCATATTTTCGAGCTCCTTAAGAGAATCAGTATCGACAGAGTGATCTTGATATCCCGAATTTATACATGGAAGTCCGGTAGATTTGCCTTTCAAGGACCCCATATTGCCAGGAGATGGAGTAAAAAATGAGGCCCTCTTCTTCTGAAGATCAGCCTTTACAACATAGAAGATATTCTTCACTGACTCTACTTGTTGGCTTGCAAAATTAGTATTAGAAGCTAGTTCATAATAAGTAGCTTTCAATTGCTTATTAGTCTCGTATCCCTTATTTTCCTTGATACTCTCTTGGTAGTCTTTAAGGTCAAATATAAGATCCTTAGTTAGGCTGAGTTGTGTCTCAAGAAGGTCAAGGTACCAGATAGTCCTATCCTCATCCCTAGTTGGGGTAAAATCTTCAATCTTTAAGTCATAATTATCATTCTCGGAAACGATCTTAGTAAGAGTGGAGGTTAGGCATTTTATAACACATCTCTGGGCAACTTCCACTGAAAGAGGCTCCTGCGAGGAACTGGCTACTTTCGATTCATACTGTGCAAGCTTAGATGCAAGGAAGATGACTCCTTGGATAAGTGGATAGGTAGCACACTCGTTCACTTCATTATTAAACTTTTCTGAGTTGCTAAAGTCATTCTCTATCTCGATTTCTTCATTGCAATGTTGAAGAAGTTTACACTGAAGGAAGAATCGCTGATTCTGAAGGGATTTCAGCTTGTTTAACCTGCCTTCATTGTATTGCTCATCTTCTACTCAAGTTAAGCTACTAACAGATACCTGGAATTGGGCTGAGATTAAGTCCATCCTCTGAGGGCTCCTCTTGGTACTGAATAATCTGGGAATTAACCTCCCTTAGAGAGTCTATTAAGTCATTTTCTGTATGGATGTCAATCTCCACCTGCTCAACTTCGTCTCTATGGTGTATTAACAAGATGAACGAACCTCGATTGAAGAAGCTTCAACCGCTTCTCAGCATTAATCTGGTTCTTCTTGAATGAAATCAATGTTGAAATTATTCTTGAAGGGATTATCTTAAAATCATTCAGCTCTAAACACCCCTTCTTCGCACTGTCATCTTGGATGATTTTGTTCAAGTTCAGAGAGCTGTTTGAACAAGTTAGCTCACCAATTGTTGACTTGAGTAGGGATAGATTTCCTATAGACCATTAAGCACAAGAAAGTGAATCTGATCTTCAAATAAATGTTGAAGAATGTGGAAAAATATCTTACTATTCAAAGCTTGATTCTCATTAGTGATGTCATTAAGTCTCTCTTCTAAATCAGCATTCTCTTTCTCTAAAGCATCGATTTCCTAAAATTGAGTCAAGCTGAGTACCTGAATAAGATTATCCTGTTGCTGTATTTGCTGCTTGTCGACCTTCATCTGTTCAAATTTAGCTTCGTATTCCTCTCTGATCTCACAGATCTCAAGCTCTTTCTGTGATTTCAGTTTAGCTAGCTCGGAATAAGCCTCATCAAGTTCAGAGGTAGGCATTCTTGGAGAATTTAGGGGCTTTGAGGTGACATCAGTCTGGAGCCCAGAGATCAGCTCAAATACATTATCGAGCTTCTTCCTAAACTGTTCTTCATGATTGCCCTCGGCTGACCTACAAATCAAACACAAATTTACGATCAAGCATCAAACAGTTTTGCTGATTTCCTTTGATGCATTTTCTCAAGTTGATCTATAGATGGAATGGTGCTGAGCTCATTGACCTTCTTGTTGACTTGCTCTAGAGTGCTTTCAAGCATCAAAATATCAGATTTAAGTCGATTATTTTCAGAATTTGCCTAAAAATCATTCAATTTTTGTACCAATTCAGCTTCCTTTTCAGCCTCATTGAGCTTGACCTTCAAAGAAGCAATCTCTTTGCCAAGGTCGAGTCCTGCGAAATCTTTGAAATTCTGGTTGCCAGAAATCTAGAGGTAAGAACATGGAGTACAATTGCTTGTTCATTCAAAGTATGCATTTCTTGGATAGTCTTGCTCTGGATCCGGTTAATGTCTTCCAGCTTGAGTCGTTCCTTCTTGTTCTCCTGAGCTAGCAGCTTAGCTTGCAAAACCCTAATGACATTTTCCAGCTGAGTTCACTTCAAAATTGCGATTCCTGAATTTATATTTTCATTCTTTAACACCTGTTTTGAATTTGATGAGGAGAGGCTGCTGAAGATGTGGTGGGAGTACACCTGAGATTCCAGTCTCTGACATTTCTCTTTCAGATCATCCACAATTTTACAGTAGTAATCACTCCGAATTTTGTTCACATCATTGTAAATTTCATGAATCTGTTGAATTCTCTGGGATTTGCAGGCTAAAAATCAGGGACTCTGGCTTACTCTGGGCAGCGAAGCTGTTATCCTCACTCTTAGGCATTCCCTAAAGATGTTACAGGGGTAATCTCTTACAGATAGCTTCTCAGTAGTAATAGCATTGATCAAGAAGCTGTCTGTTTTCTGGATGGTCTCTCTCATATCTAAATTATAATGTTTTTAGCCTACCATGAAGGGATTTCGCAATGGAATCTTCACTGAATTCAGCCTTCTCTTGCCTCTTTTGACTAATATACTCATAAATCTTTGCAGTGAGTCTGTTGAGAGCTATCTCGATTGGATAAGTATAAGCAGATTTAATCGCAACACCCCATTTTTCATGAGATCCAGTCGTGTCATCAGGGTTAACTGTATCCTCAAGAATAGTTGTTCGTGCCATCTTCTTAGACCCATCGACAAACTCTTTGTTATAGTTCCCAAGCTGATATTCTAGCTCTTGGATAGTTCTCTCCTTACGATCGACTATTATTTCTAATTGGTCAATCTCTTGCTGGTAGCTTTCAAATTTATGAATTATTTCATCAACTTGCCCGTTCAGCTGAAGGTATTCCTGCTGGTTCTGCTCCTTTTCCATCTATATGGCTCATTTCTCCTTAAAATACCTCTAAATCTCCAATTTTGTCATTTAATTTTTGTATAAATGTCTCATATTGGTTGATCTTTGTCTTCAACGTAGAGTTTTCTATCACGGATTCTATGAACTCCATAGATTTATTTGGAGCAGCTTCAGAATTTGTGCAGTCAGCTTTCTGTGCCTGAACTAAGTTTTGCTCAAGTGTAGAGATATGGTCATCCCGAGCCTCGATAAATCCTTCGAGGTTGAGTATCTAAAATTTGAATTAAAAGCTCTTACTTTATTCCTTTGAGCATCAAGCTCTTGCTTTTTGGCATACAATTTGGTTCTCAAGTCAGTTATCTCGTTGGTCACGCCAGTCTCTTCCTTCTCATGTTCATATTGTAAATTCTTCTTGGTCTCTTCTTCCTCTGTGAAGCAGTTATGGCTGAATGTTGGGATACGTTCTGAATCAAGAGAGCTATAAAGAGTTTTAGCTAAGCCATACTTCTCTTTTTGCCTAAACCGCGAATCTCAAGTTCCTTCAATCCAGGTCTTTCTCTTCTCCAAAGTTTGTTTCTGAGTGCTAATGCTCATGTCCGTCTTCCTGAGAAGCTTCAGGTTAAGAGCATGATCCTTTATTTCAGAGTTAGACAGGTTTGGCTTCTTTAGAGCCTTATTGAGGTCCTCAATCGTGGTCTTGAGAGACTCTATGTAGTCTTCCTTAACTTTTATGTCATCAAGGAGCTCCTTGACCCTTGCACCTTGCCCAATTTGAGATTCTTTAGGATCTATATTCATCAATTATCCAGGCAAGAATACCTTCTGATGTTAAAGATGGAGTAGTTTTCTCCCTTAGGAGAGCCTCCTTTTGCTCAAGGTCAGCGAGTAGCTTTGCATTCTCCTCTTCAAGTACGGCTACTTTATCCTCAATCATGAATAGCTTCTTCTGAAGATTTTGGTAATTAGATGATGTTTTGTTGTTATAGACAAAGAATGTTTTAAAAGAGTCTTTTTACTAAGATTTTAGCCGTAAAAAATAAGTCAAAATAATTCGAAAAATGAGACTCTGAAGAAGGGTTTCCAAGCCAGGATATAGTAAATCCTTCAAAAATCCTTGATTAACCCATAGAAAGGCACTAAGTGCCTCTAAAAGTAAGCCAGAGGATGTCTTGTTTCTTACTTTCTGATTCCTAGTCGGACAAAGTTAGACAGATTTGTTAAGCTCAAGACTTCATACTGATGAATTTAGCATACAAACAAAAGCAGATTGGTGAATTACGAAGACAGGCTTCCTGATTAGTAAATTTGTGAAGGAAACCTCCAATTTAGCTCAAAAGCCTTCTTTTAGGTATGGGACCCATTGTTGTAGAAGCAAGTTTTAAAGGAAATTTTATCTAATTTCTCAGATTTTCTAAAAAATTTATATCAATCTTCTTTCATTAATCATAGAATTAGATATTGAAGTCATAGAGACAGAGCTAGAGTGCTATTTCAAACCCTAGTAATGCCCTAAAATTACATCGAAAGGTTTCAGAACCTAATAGCACAGATCAGTACAAATATGGCCAAAATCTCTAATATGAGAAGGGAAATGTATACATAAAAATCTCTCTGCATCAAAGCTTTCATCCTAGGGGTGCAAAGACTTACTTCATCAGCATTAACCTGGTGGGTATTATAAGTAAGGTCAGGAGATCCTGCCTCCAATGATTCCGAGTCAAGCTGTACTGAATTATAGTCTAAATTTATTACAACGAATCTGTACTCTGAGAGGCCAGGACTTTCAGAACTCCAAGAGGCTTCTGGCCACTCTTGGATTTATTCAAAAAGTTCCCTTCTGCGATCAAGACTCATTGAGCTTGTAGCTGGTCTACAGGAGACATCTGGGCTAACGATTTCAAATTTTGCAGTGAATTAGAATCAATTTCGACTTGATAGTACTTCTGCAGCTGAGATTCAAGATTTTTGATCTTGTTCTCACAAAGCTTAGTATAAACCTTCGCCTTCTTCAAGTCAGATGCTGTACGAACAGAGTCTGATTCTTTCTGAGACAACATCTCTGCTATCATCTTGATCTCATCAGCCTTGAGATCAGTCTGGATGCCCTTCTGTGAGCCTGAGAAAGACTGAATTTCTGGAGAATATCTTTTCTCAGGCTTCGTCTTCGAAGGACGAGTAAGGAGATTATCGTTAACATCCTGGAGTTCCCTCATTATCATCTGGTTCTCTCTAAGAATTTCTTCAATAACTTTGTAACTGAGATCGGAGAGGTCAGGAATAGCATTATAGATATCCTCTAAATGATTTAACAAAGGCGACCTACCATCATCTTCTAAATCTTGGAACCTTTGGAGCCTATTGGCCAATTTCTCAGCTAGATCATCAGTTTCAACAGAGTTTTCAAGCGCGAGCTGACAGAAGTCAGTAGTCGTTGTGCAGAAGCTGTCTGAGATAGTCTGGATCTGGATCTTTAGCTCCTTAATAGACTCATCCTTATGTCGTATAATATTCTCGTATTTCAAGTGTGAAGAGCTCGAGTTTGATTCATAATGGTTCTCGTTCAGTTCTAGGTCGCTTATCCTATCATCCTGATATATTTACACATGCAAGTTACCTTCTCACGGATAATCTGCCTGAGAGTCATGATCTCTTGCTCAAAATCATCATTTTCAAAATGCGAAAGTCTCTCTTTGAGGTCTTGCATCTTTGAGTTGAGGTTTTCAATACATTTTTCTGGAAAATAAGCCAATATTTTACCTTTTAAGTCAGAATCAGCTGTTTCTTTAGACTGTAATTGAGAGTACAGCTCATCAATTTGTTCTTTTAAGCGTAAATTCTCTTGCACAAGCTCTTGGTTATCCTCTTTAAGCTGCTGAATAACCTTATCTTGGTCTTCAAGTGCCTAAAGATCAAACATCAAGCAGTACCACACTTTTGAGGAATTGCGATCTAGCGCCGCCAAGTATTTTCATAATTTCTTCGTCTTCAGCCTGCTCCTTGCTTCGGTCGAAGAACTTGCTTGATAAATTAGATGCTCTATAGGTTGAACAGGGAGGGAATTACTCGAAATCAAGTTCTTTGTCAAGATCCGCCATAATTTAAATTATTTCAAATTTAAATAAATATATTGGGGTTTTGGGGTTTTGGGGTTTTGGGG